AAGTTCCTCTTTAAGGGTCTATAGCAGAGTTATACACAAATGAACTACATTTATGTTACTACCCTACATGAATTCATTTTTAAGATTTAACTCCTGAGTTTAGTGTCGCTGTAACAGACCTTGTTGGTCAGGAAGTGGAGAAATTCCATCGGATGGTGCCATGACAACATACATATGGGGAATAGCCTACAAGCCCCATATTCTGCCTCTAAGTGTAAACACACCATACTGGCTTCAATTTGTAATGCTGCATAAGGTAGTGCAATCCCAGGGTACATGCTTTTCCTTTTCTAAATCTCTCGCTTTTCTCTCTCTTTTTTCCTTCTATTACTATCCTTTCTTTTTCTCTTGGTCTCTTTTTTTCCTCCCTTATTTTCTTTTTCTTGCTTTCTCCTCTCACTTTCTCTTTTTTTTATCTCCCTTTTTCCCTCTCTTTCTCTCTCATTTACACTTGTGCTCACTCTTTTTCTCTGTGCATATCTGTGTGTGTGTGTATGGATTGCACAGTCTTGTCTTTATGTCCTGTTTATATACCTCACTACCATGCTCTGGCTGCAGAAATTATATCACAGCTGATGGTGTAGCACAAAGGCTTTTTAATGCCCTGATTATATTGTCATACATCTGAAGAGGAATTCTTTAAACAAACAATTAAATAAAACAAGAAATTTGCTATATTTCTAAGCTGCTGTGCAAATGATGGCGACAAACACATATGTGTGTAAAATAAATCCTTTACTTGGCTGTAAGCTAAAGATATGCCAGTAGCTATGATATAGAGTGTCAGTCTGTCAGTGGAAATAAAAATCAATGCAAACAAATCATATTTTGGTTTCATATTCCCCATCGATAGAGGTAAGATTCTATATTCAGCTGTTGGATAATTGTGGGGATATTTGTAGCCTGGAACTGCCTTCTTCATTTTCAGTTTGATTAGAGCTGTTGATTTCCTTCTATACATGTATCTCGTCAGATGGTGTTATTAAATGCTTCATATTTCTTGGCAGGCAATACTCATTTTTGTCAAACTAATTACTGGGTAGATCAACAGACAGTGCTTGCACATGCTGTGCAATTCTGTGGTGGCATCTACTATATTGTAATGTACTTTAAACTTGTACTGTTATATATTGTTATATAGTTTTAAGTAGGGATGTCCCGATACCGATACTAGTATCGTTTACAGGGCTGATGCAGGGCATTTTCACGGGTACTTGTACCTCGCGGTAGCTGTCTATGACATCACTGGTCCGGCCCCACATCTCCTCCTTCCTGGCCCCTGTATAGATAATCCATGATTATACAGCAATAGAGAATGGCAACCTGCTATAGGGGACTAAAAATCTCAGCAATCCGTGATTGCTGGTTGCCATTCTCCATTGCTGAATAATCATGGATTGAGTTACAGTTCTTAATTATTAAGAAACTGCCCTAAAATCATTAGTCTGTATTGTTTTAGGAAAAAAGTCACATGTCCCTTTGGGAAACAGTATTTTGTTTTTGTTTTTTAATCTACTTTACATTTATGTATTGCAGTGCAAGGGCCCAATTGGATGCAAACTAGATGAAATGTTTGGTTAGGTCCTCAGACTACATAGTCAGTAAACCTAAAGAAGATTTGCAGAGATTGTTCAATCAGCTTGTAAAACTTGTGGCCTACTTTAGTCACTTGCTGGCTTCACATTAATGTTGGGGATCCCCATCTGTGTAGATATGCCGATATAACCACATTTTCTGTTTCATACTTTCTAATTGGGCTCATTCACACCATCACATTTGTGGTAAAGGCACACATTATAGCAAAGCTCAATAGCATACCAAACTCCATGTGAAGCTGTGCAGTGCTGTTCATTTTAAATGTTCTTTCTTTTATTGTGAGTGGCACCCAACACGAACTACAGAGTGCACCATACTTCAATTAAAACAATATAGAAAGCAGGAGCTCCTGGGATTGGGCCCTTTTAAAATGGGATGTAGTAACCCAGTAAGCTGCAACGCACAATAAAGCACACTGCGGTGCATGCATTACCGGTGGTGTAAAGAGGCCCTAGATTTCCTAGGTGCTTGCAGACCTGGGAACTCAAGTAACCTAGCTCTTAACTGTCCATAATTTGGAAGGACTATCCCTTTTTGGGAACCAAAACCTCAGGTCTGTATGTCCTTCTTAGTTGTCCCTCTTTTTTCTGATGTATAGACCTCTGTGAATATTGAAAAAAGCAATACCGGCGCCCCCGGTTTGCAGAGAAATCCGGCTGTAAAGTTCATTGGTACACCATAGAGGCAGCTCCCACCGGTCAACAACGACTATCGATCTGGGAAACAAAAGCCCAGTAGAATGGGAAAGGGTTGGAACTAAACCTAAACATAACGGCTCGTTAGCCAGTAATAAATATTCACTGCACTATTTACCTAACTAACTAATTGCCATAAACCTTCCAAATCCTGCATTTCCTATTTAAAAAAAAAAAAGAAGAGGTGAAAAAACCACTTGTGGGTTTAATCAATCATTTTTGCATCTTAACTCTTGGTGGACCAAGTAATCAAGGTGTGCTGCAGGGGGGCATCCTTTGCCTTCATACTTTGTGCTAAAAGTTGTCCCTCTTTCTCATCTCAGAATGTTCGGGAGTTATAAAGTACTGAAATCTCACCACTAAGTCCTCAACAAATAAACTCTTCATAGTCAAAAACTGAAATATAAGTTCTGGGTTAGCTGGTCCTTTAAAATCACTGATGGTTTCCAGCAAAAAGAAGCTTGCAGTCATAAAATTATATTTTTCCAAATTATCTTTATCAAGATTTTATTATTCACAGTTGTGACACACCGTGTATTAAATTATAGACATGTGCACCAGCAAAAAATGTATTTCATTTCGTTTTGATCAGGATTTTGCAATATTTCGTTTTTCGGGAATCGGGTCCGAAAATAAATTTGTATCGGGATTCGGACAAAATTCGTTAGCGGTAGTCTGTACAAACGTTCATTTCATTTTTGTTTCATTCATTCGTTCGTTGCAGCAAAGTGACATTTAAAAAAAAAGGAATGAACTTTTGTACAGACTACCGCTAACGAATTTCGGAAATTCGGATTCGTTTGCATTCATTATATCTGTAATTCGGAATTTGGATACATGCGAATCTCAAAATTTCCAAAATGTCGTCCGAAATTTGTTTCGGAACGAGACGAATCGCACATGTCTATTTAAATTACTTGTATTTCAAAGCAGGACATAGAGGTTTTTTTTCAGAAAAGATCATTTAAAACAAACCGTGTTTCACATGACACGACATGTTTGGTCCTGGGGATTTGTCACGTAGGCCTCCATTGTGGAAGGGAGTGCACAGGTGAGCCTGATGCTCACAAGGTTAGGTTTTATGTGAGCTTCATGGGGAGATCAGTAAAAATGTAGGTTTTTATGCAAAGCCGAGGAGTTCAAGAAAAGTACTAGTATATGCTCCTAAAATAATTATAGCTGCCGCTTAACTTCCTGGATCTCCTTTTATTGCTGTTGGTGGAAACACTTGACACTTGTCCCTTAAATTGAGCCAGTGCCCACACTGTGCACATATTCTAAACAAGCAGTTTATATGTGCATGTTCTTAAAAAGCACTTTAAAACAAGCTTCCATTCACCTCTTTAGCGTTAGGGATTGTGGAGAAATTCATAGTCAAAGGTTACAACAGAAGTTCTGTAATCTTATCTCTTTCCCTATTACTTCCTATTTCACCAGACTCTTGGCAGCTAGAGAGTATTGGTGAGCCTGAGCTTGGTGCAAACCCAGTTCACCTGAGTTCACTCAAGCCCGGTGTAAACTGTGACCGCCACCCCTCTTTCTTCTGGCCCAATTAGTGGCGGCATTTGTGTCAAGGGTATTTCCCCATCCCCTTTGCAACATATAGCTTCAGGGCAGGGAATGCACTTGCTGCAACTGATTTGACTTGTAGAGGGATGTGGCAGTCACAGTTTTGAGCAGCTTTGGGTGATTACACCAAGCCCATGCTTTAGGTCAGGGAGGGCTTGTTTATAGCTTCTTTTTTTTTTTTTACTGCTTGTTAAGAATATGTAAATACTTTAAAAGGGAACATTACCCTTATCTTATATAAAATGACAACAATGACACCTTCAGAAATGTTTAGAAATTGCAATCTACAGATAATTATATATAAGTGCAGGCTTTTTATTCTTTGCATACCTTATTTTTCTTTTCCTCCCCATTCTTCTCACAGTGGCCATTTTTAATAAGAGCAGATTAATCCATCTCCCTTTATTCCCTGGAACTCTGGCACATGTGACAGTGCACATCACCTGAGCAGAAAAAAATGACTTTCCCAGAAGTGCACAGGTGATGTAGCCTTCCCAGAATCTGTGAGACCAGGATTACATCACTAGTGCCTAAGAGGACCAGGAAGTAGAAGAAACTGTAATTGTAAGTAAAAGCAAAAAATGTTTAACTCATGAATGTAAGATGATTTCATATCATCATCACGCAGAACTGCATGCTGAGGTGATTTTTAGTGAAAGGGGGTAAAGGTTCACCAATGTCTATAGTCTAGGCACAGGTGCACTTTAAGGTATATATACACATGACTTGTCAGTCACCCAATCTGGCATGACATGACAATCTAAGCTGTATGAGAGGCCCCCCTGATGTAGTGCAAGGACAGACAGTGTAATAGCTTTTTATTTAATAATAAAACTAAGATCACAAACCTTCACAGCACATCATAGTTAGTACACACAATACAAAAAAATCCAAGGCCATGGTTATCAACCACTACCATAAAACATGTACCATGAGTAGATTTCCGCTGTCTTAATGCCAATCCTAACCACCTATCATTCTTCTTGTGTGTGTTTTTTATTGGTTATTTTTCTATGAGGAATGCTTTGTCATGTTGTCTAACAAAAAGGTAAATGTTTTATATGAACATTGTCCACACCTCTTTACTCTAGGAATGTCATTTCACAGTATATTAAAACTTAGTTTTCTTTATCTCCACAGAGATGAAGAAGAACTCAGGAAATCACTTTCAGAACTTGCTGATCCAAACCCTAAATCAATAAAACGCATTAATAGTTGTGGGAAGCCATTCCTTGACTTTTCTCAAGATCCCAATATCACAACTTACAAGTATGGGGTGCTTGTGCGCAAAATTCATGCGGATCCTGACTGCAAAAAAAGTAAGTATCAGAAATGTATCGCTTACTTTTCTGCTTAAATCTACTGTTAAATATTTACTTCTGTTGCGAAGGATGGGATTTAACAAAACATTGCAAACTTTTTTTTTTTTTTTTTTTATCTCAAAGCGCCAATACATACAGTTTACAGGGGTTGTAAGTTGTGAAATAACTTTGCTTGTAAAGTTAGAGAGCTACTGAGCAGCCCAATATGGGATAAAAAATGAAAAAAAAAAAAAAGAAATAAGGCAGTGATATGAAAAACAGTAAGTATATTTCGGATTACAGTTCCATTGGAAATTAGCAGACAATCAAGTACATGCAACAGGTTGTACCTGAGCAGTTATCAATAAAAAACAAACATAGAACTAGGATAATGGGGCAGGAAACTATAGGAATAACTAGGTAGAATCCTACTCAATTTCTCTAACAGTAGGGTAAGAAAAGGGGAAGAAAGAAAAAAAAATTGGGGGGAGGGGAAGGAAAGGGAGACAGAGAGTGGGTGATGGAGGCCACAGTGGTCATTTAAGGAGTCAGAGGTAGGTATGGTAGTCTTCAGAATTCTGAAACTCCTCCCAGCGGTACCAGGTTAGGGTATGTTTCTCAGTGGTGTTTTTTAGGCTCGTTGTGAGGCTTTACATTTCCCTGAAATCATTCACCCTAGAGAACCATTTGCTGACAGTAGGAAGGGAGGTCTGTTTCCTACAGCTAGGTATACAAGCTCTTGCAGCACTGAGCTAGTGAATCCATAATGAGTATTTGCAATGGCTCCTGGACAATGGAGTTAGTTGGACTGCTTTGGGTTTACTGGTCAGTGAGATCCCAGTCAGTTGAGCAATGCTACACAGAACCTTATTCCAAAATGAAGAGAGCACTGGACCGTCCCAGAAAACATGCAGAAGGGTACCTCTTTCAGTGTTATAGTGCCAACATGTATCAATCTGCAGAGGAAAGATTTTCGCTAAGACCTTGTGTGTCCTATACCTGTGTGCCAACAATTTTTAAGTTATCTCATGATATTTACTGCAAATTGATGCCTTTTGGGAAAATAAAAGTATCCTGTTCTTTGGTTTAGTAGTAAACCTAATCTGTAAGTCTTTTTCCAACTTAACTAGAAATGGCGGATCATGGGAGGAGAGTGAATGTTGCAAAAGTTTGTATGAAAACAAATGTAAAAAATGGAAGAGCGCACTACAATGTGTAACAACTTATGGGGAATTGGACACAGGCTATAACAAACAGTGTGCAAGCTCTATGAAAATCAGGTAGAGGAACCCTGTGATAACCAACATGAAACAAAATAAATCAAGAGCGCTACAACCAGGGCCTGATTTACTCTCCCTGCCGCCCCAGGGCCATGTTCCACAATACGCCCCCCCGCGCCGCCAACCCCCCATTTATTGCTATCACACAGGAGATAACAAGCCCCTGTGTGATAGCAAGGTAGACGGCTACTTCCTCCGGCGTCAATCCATGTTAACAGGACGCCGGTGGATTCATACCTCGCACCCTATATCTGACAGCTGGGGGGAGGAGTTGCGGCCCGCCGCGCTGTGATTGGCCGGACGGCCGCACACTACGGAGCCGTTGGCCTGAGCCTCGGCAACTTCCACACAAGGTCACCGCTGCCGCCCCTCTGCGCTCTGCCGCCCCGAGGCCGGGCCTCGGTGGCCTTGTGGGAAATCCGGGCCTGGCTACAACTGTAAGTTTGGTAAAGAAAAAAACACCGATGTCCCGGTTCAAACGTGAACTGGCAGAGCCAGATGACGTGGAAAAGATGAGTAGCTAAGTGGACTTTAACTGATGTTGAGAGCGAGTGCTGTCCTCTGCACGGACTCAGCTGGCCAGGCTGATCGCTACTAATTCAGGCTTGACAAAGAGGCTGTGCCTCAACGCGTAGCCGCCATCCACAGAGATCCCTTCGCACAGATTACTTCAAGTTCCCCTCGTCACCACCACACAGTGACTGAACGGCATCAGATCGTGGACTCACAGCGCAGCAGGACCGCTCTGTCTTCAGAGCCAGCTGACACTCTGACGGCCTCTGCGTGTTTTTTGTCTGCCGCAACGGCTCAGCCTGGCCAGCTGAGTCCGTGCAGAGGACAGCACTCACTCTCAACATCAGTGAAAGTCCACTTAGGCACTCATCGTTTCTACGTCACCTGGGTCTGCCAGTTCACATTTGAACCGGGACATCGGTGTTTTTTTCCACTGAGACATGGCAACAGCCCAAACGTGAGTCTGTACCAAACTTACAGTTGTAGTGCTCTTGATTTATTTTGTTTCAAAAGTTTATATGAGGTAGTATTGGATAATGTTTTCCAGTGAGCTAAGGCCAGGTACTTGTCAGCTCTCATTAAACCGGCCTCCAACCAAACCCGAAAGACTCTGTATGAGTGGCTGGGGAAAAATTATGGATGGCCCAGAATTTGGGTCAGTGGTGAAGGGAAAGCAGACACTTTTTTAGAAATATTTTGCCATTTTTAAAAGAGTAGGTCCTTTTAAAGGATGCTTATGTAGATAGGCTGTCAAATCAGCTTTTGCCCAAGGGGCACCAGGAAGAGGAAAAGGTGCATTATCTTGCTCCACAGTGACCCACCGTTTAGATTGGGAATGTCTGCACCAATCAACGACTCTGGACATATGCACTGCGGTGTAGTGTACAAGGCTGGACCTGGGAACCCCAAACCACCTCTGAGTTTAGGACGTAATAACACATCCCTACCTACTCTGATCAATTTCCCCTGCCAAATACATTTTATAATATCTGATCAAGATCGTGCGAATAGTATTATCACGTGCCTCGCATAAAGAGATAAACCCTGACTGGTCTGGGTGGATGAGTCTCTGCATGATGGGGCCCATTCGCGTTGCAAGAATTTTTGAGAAGAGCTTGAGGTCACAATTCGGTAAAGAAATGGGTCTGTAACTAGTACATAACAAAGAGTCTTTATTTAGTTTAGGGAGCATGTCAGGTGGAATGCTATGGCCCTCAGTGATTGAATTAACTACTGCTAGTAAATGAGGTGACAAACGAGAGAGCAAGATTTTGTAGCAAACAGTGGAGAAGCCATCAGGGCCAGGCACTTTGCCATTCGGAGTGGCTGTGAGTGCAGCTCGGAGATTCTGGGGTAATTAATATGATCGCTTCAGATGTCAGATGAAACTTGAGGGAATCCTAAGGGGTAATTAGTGTGATCACTCCAGATGCTGGCTAAGCCTTACTCCTTTCAACAGTACCAATCCCTGATGAAGGGGAACCCCTTGAACCCCCAAAATACACTACTGGCTTTTTAATATAAGAGTCTCAATAATTTGAATATGGACTTGATATGTTCTACTTTTGGTGCTTTCCTCCTTGCAAAACTTGTCCTTACTCGAGTAAAGAGCCAACGTTCAACCACCACTCCTGCGATAGAGCTGCCTGAAGAGAGTTTCTCTACACTTCTTAAGACCTGACTGAATACACCTAGTTTTTCAAGAGATGCCCCACACCTTTTTTCTACTTCCCAAGTTTTAAAGCCATGTCATTGTATGCAGGCTGAGCAAGCACAGACTGGAAATCAGACTTTTGAAAGTAAAGTTGCAATCAGTCATTTTTATACAGAGGTTTCCCAGCTGCAATCTAGGTTTGTTTAGAGAGCTGTGACATGAGTGAGGAAGCTTACTGTATCCTCTATGCATATCTACGGCTAAATGGGAACACAAGAGGAATGGCTTGGATCACTTTAAACCTCAACTGGATTTTTTCCAGTGTCTCCTAGGGTGCTATTACTACTGGCAATGGGTGGTCAGTAATGATGCAGGGAGCTGCTCTCTGCATCATTGTATGTGAATGCAGGGCACCATGAAGATACCTTCTAAGGGGGCAAGTCCTGCACTCACAGGATGCATACACTGTAAAGATTTCTTCTGATTCCTGTGAATCGGGTGAAATCCTAACTGTGGGTGGTCCAGCCAGCACCACCTGGCTTGACAAACTTCTGGTGAAAATTCAAAGGAACCAGGCATAAAATGGTCTGCTGAACAGTGACTGCAACCAATCAGCTGTAGTTATTGTCCAGATATTCTGACAGCTGCAGGCACCATAGTCAGAAGGGGGGGTTATTCCATCCATGCTGGTTAGCTTGGATAGGGGAACTGAGCAGTTTTTTCTTAGCCTGTTGGGTGTGTAGTTCGATATTAGGAACATCTGCTGGGTATGTAAACAGAGTGACATGCTTTGAAGTTGTGGGGTAGCTTAAAGTGCATATTAGAGCAATGTAGCATGAGCAGAACATTTGATAAATAAACTGAGGAATTTCATAAAATATACTGACGTAAAAAAAAAACTACAGTATATACCCTATGACAAGCTTGAGTCTTCCAAGTTGAATGGCGTTCAATGTCATTCAACCTTGTAGACTGATTACATCTATTAGTGTAAAGGAATTACTGTAGGGAGTAAACCCCTGGGGACTATTAGCCACGGCAAACACATAATATGGGAATGTAATTGATGGTAATGACCGCAATGGGATGGGATGCTCTGTTTACACAACAACAATAAAAACTTCTTGGTGCATGTATGTTTAATACATTTTTAGAACCTAGAATACAGATAGTCCAGCATGTCTTTCTTTGTTATTGGTGATTGATAAGTTATTTTCTAGCCAGTTATTCTCTTCTTACTTCCCACTGATAGATATACTATTATATTGTTAAAAGAAATATAGGGCTCTATTCACAAAAGGGTGAAGAGTTTGGAGAAGGCAGGAGAAGTGAACAATCTAGGACAACATAGCTGAACTGGAAAGTGAGCTGAATTGGAGAATTTTTCCAAATGAGCTATTTTGGCCTAGATTGTTCCCTTCTCCTGCCTTCAATCTCTTAACCCTTTTGTGAATCGACCCCATAGTGTGGTATTGCGTGTTCTGTTCACCCAGGACTCTCAGCCAGAGGGGTTGAGAGGTGTCCGGAAGCAGTGGCGGAACTACCAGGGTCGCAGAGGTCGCGGCCGCGACCGGGCCCTGGAGTTCGGCCACTTGGAGGGAGCCCAGGACAGGAGGAAGGGGCCACTGGTGACCGCTGATTACCAGTCCCGGGACCTCTTCCTCCCGTCCTGGGCCCTACATGCTTCACGCTGCTCCCCTCATCTTGTTCCGGGCGCAGCGTGAAGCATCATCCAGCCGGGCAGCAGCCAATGAGGGGGAGCGGTGTAATCCCCGCCCCCTCATCACACAGAACTGCCGCCGAGTGCCGAATAGAGCTGCTGCGGACACGAAGGGGGAGACAGGGAGCTGGAAGTATCAAGGAAGGTGACATGGGGTCCGGGAGCGGAACGGAATGAAGGGGGAGATAATGGGGAGATGAAAGAGGACAGGATGTTTTGCAAGCAGTGCATGAATGCAGTACTTAACAACCCCTGTGAGAGAATCCGATCTCGATGTGTGAACTTTGTTTAAATAAAAGTGGGCTACCAGGCCCTTAAAAAGAATATAATGTAAGTGGACTGTGTCATTAAAGTGCTCACTATATGTGCTAATAATCTCTAAACATCACAACAGTAGCATATATATAAAAAAAAAGAGTGGACAATTTGCTTCACTGCACAAATGATTTAGAATGTACTGGGGCCCCTTAGATGCACTAGAAATGTTACAACAAAGGTGAACTAACTCTTTAATTAGGTTACCTATTAAATACCTTTTCACCAAACTGAACATACCCAGTGTTTCTAATCTTTCAGCGTACATTCATTTTACATATGTTACCCAACACCAGACCTCTTATTCTAAATGTGGCTTTACATTTCATTTATACATAGGCAATACTATATTGGTATAACTGAAGAGAAGAGAGCCAAAGCCTCTATGCCTATTCACTGCAGCTCTGTACAGCTATTTTTAGCTGTGCATCGCCTGCATTGGCTCACTTCACCTCCCTTCAGCTCGGCAGATGCAACATCTGGATCGGCTGAGGCGAATTGTCGGCACTTCATTCCCTGCTATTCACCCCTATTCTCAAAGGGGCCGAACAGCAGAGAGTAGAGAGTAATTTGCCGAATGCTCGGCTCAGCATTCACCTCGGAGGTAGCGAACAGAATGAAAAATGTTACTGTAAAAAAAAACAAAAAAACACCCCTCCCAAATCATACCAGACTGTTTAGGTCTGGTAGGAATGTTAGGGGGGACCCCCGATGTAAAACAAAATAAAAAAATATGCGTTGGGTTCCTCAACAAATTCATACCAGACCCTTTAGGTCTGGTAGGAATCTTAAAAAACTAAAAAAGAGTGGGGTCCCCCCTAAAACCACCAGAAAGCACAGAAAATAGTAAATAAACACTCCACACCAAGAAAAGGGTCCTTTAATTGAACACCGTAACATTACTGGTATCTGATGAAGGGGGCGTGACCCTGGAAACGCATCATCACAGCCTACCCTGCTGGTACACAGGCTCGGCGGTGCAGCTGTCACTGACTTTTACTTTGGTCCAGGTATTCACACACAATGCTTCATTAATGTCGACCTTTGTGAGTATGATTCACATCTATTATTGCTTTTATCTGAAATAAATTTGTCTGCACCAGGAAAGGCGCCCCTGTTTGTTATTTTTTCCCCAGATTTTGCAGTCCTCCTGGCTGGTTTGAGGCAGCGTCCTGCAGATCTCACACCACATCACTTTTTTTCTATCAGTCCCTGCACTCTTTTACAAAAATTTGTGTTTTTTTAACCCTGGTGGAGCAGTCCCATTTTGGCGCTTTTTCTGTTTATTATTGTACCGTAACATTACTTCCAGACCTAAAGGGTCTAGTATGTTTTGTAATTCTTTAACAAGTTGAAGGGATTCGGTCCACTTCGGCAGACCGTTCTCCCCACTCGGCTGTTCTCTCCGGCTGCCTTCAGCCGCTGTATGTGCTATTAAGCATGCACGTACAGCAGCCCATAGGTTTGACTTAACCAGAGGGTTGCTGCAGCCAAATCGAGCTGCATTAGGGTGTGCACACAAAATGCACTCCTATCTCTTCACCTGTCCCTTACCTCTTCCAGCAAGGGTGCAGTAATGAAGCAGGGAGCCTGGCAGGTGGTCATGTCCAGCTTCTCGATTGGATGGGAAGCTGCAGCCATGCTCCCTTGCAGCTTCCCAGTCACCGAGGATGTGGCTGTTATTAGAGGAGTGTAAGTGGCAAGTTCTGCTGTGCTCTGTATTCCTGAGCTGGTCACAGAGAGATCTTTGTCATCCCTCCACCAGCTCAGTGACAAAAAACACAGTGCCCGCTGTTGCAGTTTAAAGGAGAACTATGGGGTCAGTGTTTTTCCCCATAGTTCTCCTTAGGGTAACGGGAGGACACAAACTAGCGTCCTCCCGTTAACCTAAGCTCAGTATACCGCAAGCTACAGCTCGCGGTATACTGAGACGCCGGAGCGGATCCCGACGTAGATGACGGGATCCGCCCAGCTGCGTGAGTGACAGCTGGCTCTGCCTATCTGCTGTACCCGCCCCCTCCCCCGTCCGTTCCGCCAGTCAGCGCTGGCAGATCAGAGCGGGGAGAGGGGAGTCCAACCCTCCCCCTGTCACGGCAGAGAGCCGTGACAGGATCGAGAGGTGAGCGAACCTGGTATGTGTTCGCTCACCTCCCGATCTACTGAGCCGACCTGTGACAGTCTCATTGTCACAGGTCGGCTAGATGAGGTGAGTGGAAATCACTCATCTCATAGTTCTCCTTTAAGCCTTGCTCTCGGGGGGGTTAGGGTGTACCCAAGCACACTCTGTGCACACACACCCATGTAAATAACCCCATGTGTACTGTTTATGATCAAACTACGCCCCCAGCAGAATTAACCTCAGGAACCCATCCTGAACCGAACATTTTATATCAAGTGTGTGCCACTGTGCTATGCTGACTGCCCACCTGTGTAATGAGCCATTGGTCTCAGTACACTACATCATGTTCGCCACTTATGGGGTGATTGTCTAGGGTCAGAATCACCTTCGAGGAGCCCTATTTTACTACCTACTTGATTCCTGACCAGCAGGTCCTTGAAAACCTTTCTTATCGCACCAAAAAACTATTTCAATTTAGGTTTAAAAGAGAAAGCAAAAATACAGTCTTACTGATGTCAGTTGATGTGGTCATGTTTGTACTGCACATCATGTATTCCTCTACTGTGGCATTTTTAGTATGCTGGTTTTTCTTTCTGTTATTTATGGTGACACAATTGAATTAAGTAGAAACATGACTCTATTGATTGTAGTGATTGCAGCCTCCATTTTGACTCTGCATAAATAGTGTTAAAGCTGAACTTCAGCCTCACCATCAGGCTTAAACAGGATTCTCTACTGCAGTATAGCAAAGCTGTATTAGAACCTGCAGCTAATCATATAGAGCTTGCCTCATATCCTGAATGGAAGATGTCCAGCATAATCTGGCACTTTACTTCCCAGTCTTACTGTCCCCTCTCCACCCTTTTCATCCATTGGATTTTAGTACTATCATAGAGGATCAGCATCACATGTAGTCGTTGCTTGGGGCAATCTGCATGCAAATGCATTCTGTCTAAGAACTCCCAGTTCTCAGAACGGACATCCACCCAATCAGGCATTTTAATACATGCATAACCCCTCCCAAGAGCCAGCCCACTGCTTGTATAAAGCTTGAGTGCTCTTGAAAGGAGTACTGAGAATCCTCCCACCAGCCAGGATCTGTCGGCTTGATTACGTTGCTGGATCAAAAACAAAAAAGGATGTAATAAACTAGAAGGGTTTTCTTTTTTTTTTATTTCATCAATATGAGTTATTGGAGGGGGACAGGATTAGGCAAAATATATGCAGAGTAAACTTCAGTTTTGCATTTAGTTAAAATGAAGACATAAATTAGTTTCTGGACACTTAATATTTCTATTTGTTCCCAATAGCACCTAGAGGAAAAAGAGGATGGAAAACATTCCATGGAATATTGAAGGGGATGATTCTGTATCTACAAAAGGTATTGTGCTTTCTCTTATACCTCAAAGTTTCCACTGAGAATATACTGCCATTATTCACCATTTTTCCAGGAATATCTTTAATAGCTTTTATAATCTTGGATAAGCAATCTGCTTATGGTTAGGGTCCAGAGTGATCCCCCCCCACACTTAAAACACTGTACAAGTAACACATTTAGAGTTGAGCAAATCATTAATTTGCCTTTTGGCCAAATGTGCATCTGGAAACAGTGTCATCGCATGGCATAAAAGTCATATATTCTAACTTGCATTGAGCTGTTTCAATCTTGTCAGCCAACGTATGTGAGAGATATGAAGGACGTAGAACTTGTGAGTTTGGGTTTAAGTATAACAGCTCCAGCTCAGCGCATAGTAAGGGGAGCCAAAGGAACCAAAGGAACCAAAAAGCCCTTAAATGAGAACTATGGGGTTAGGGCTTTTCCCCATAGTTCTCCTTAGGGTAACGGGAGGACACAAACTAGCGTCCTCCCGTCACCCTAAGCTCAGTATACTGCGAGCTACAGCTCGCGGTATACTGAGACGCCGCAGCTGAAGCGGATCCCGACAATTATGTCTGGATCCGCCCAGCTGCGTGAGTGACAGCTGGCTCTGCCTATCTAGAGGCAGAGCCAGCTGTATCCGCCCCCTCCCCGTCCGTTCCGCCAGTCAGCGCTGGAGGAGAAGTGAGGGGGGAATCAAGTCCCTCCCCTGTCACGGCAGAGATCCGTGACAGGATCGAGAAGTGAGCGAGCGCCGGTATGTGTTCGCTCACTTCCCGATCTACTGAGCAGTTTAATTGTCACAGGTCGGCTAGAACTATGAGGATGAGTGAAAAGCACTCCCCTCATAGTTCTCCTTTAAGTACTTATCAGCACTGCTTTCTTGGAACATAAGAAAAAAAATCTTAATTTTAGAATGGAAGTGGAGTGATGCTGAAGTTAAAAGGATGGAAATGTTCATTATAGACATTTATTACATTATAGTATTTTTACTTTGCTACATCACAGTGGCTCAAATCTTGTTGGGAACTATTGAAAGTTTTTTTGTTGAAAAAAAGAGTTTGCTTTTTTGGTGAGCTCCCAACTGAGCACTTTCTGTTTGCACAGAAATGACAGTTAAGTTATACGGTTCAGTTTATAAACAATACTCACCCCGCTTCAATACTCGTTTTTCATTGTGCCCTGTTTCCAAGCTGCAAATGCAAGGATTTTACCGGCACACACTTAAAAATTCAAATATCAATATTCCATTGATATTTTTATTCAGTGAAGAATGCCACATCATGTCATATGGTGCTAACGTATCGGATCCTCTCAGGGATCCTTCATCAGCGCGACACACTGTGAGGACCCGAAACGTTAGCAGGATCCCTGCGAGGACCCGAAACGTTGGCACCATATGACATGATGTGACATTCTTCACTGAATAAATATATATGGAATATTGATATTTGAATTTTCAAGTGTGTGCCAGTAAAATCCTTCCATTTGCTGTTAGTGTTTGTACAGCGCCATCTGTGCGGTCACCTCGAGTACCACAGATACTCGTATGCTGTAAGACCGTAGGAGTGCGAATGGTATTTGGACTCTTCTGTTGACAAGCTGGGCATTTTGCCAAGAAGTAAAAATGCCATCTCCTAGGGGAGATTGTTAAATAAAAATAAAAAAACAACTGTGGTATTTTTGTTATGTAAAAAGAAAAATAAATGCAGAATTACAAAATCATTGTTTGCAATGGCTATTATTTATATTTAAACATTGAAGATATACACTCAGTGGCTGCTTTATTAGGTACACAGATGTGTTTTTGATTTAGTACATAAATTATGTAGAGGCAATCAAGAAGTTCATTTGTTAGAGACACTCTCATCTTGCCCTGGTAGGGCAAATTAACAGTGTATCTGCAAACCACCCGACCCCCCCACCCCTCCCCCACACACACACACTTGTACCCACTATACCATCAACTTTTCCCCAATTCTGAGACAAAATTGGCAGGTGTTGGGGACTTGGAGGATCCATGATGTCACTCATATGATTATATGATGGTGCTCGGGCCTAACAATTGCCTACTAGACCTAAGCATTGTCACAGGGGAGGAGATGATATGCTTCTTCATACCCAGATAAGTGCCAGGTATTGAGGATGGCTATGGAGGAGGAAGGAGCCATGGGGTGATCTGGTCAGGTGAGGGCAAGGTGGTTGAGGTAGGAAGCCCTTTGCGGAGATGTTGTCACTTTGCCCTGCCTGGACAAGGTGACTGTGTCTCTTTAAACCCAAATATTACAATAGGAAAGATTCATGATCTAAGTGACCCTTACTATGTAATGATGGTCCGATATTGGTGGCAAAAGAATTTCAGAAAATGCTAACCAACTGGAATTTTCACTCATTACTGTCTGTAGACAGAGAGTTTCATCCAGTGAGCTTTAATTCTCTTGGTATAAACATAATGAGAGAAGTGTGTGACCTGTCCACAAATGTTCAAATGAATGCCCTTTACAACATGGGTGTGAAAAAAGGCATCTCTGAACACTGAATCTGCCGAGCCTTCTAGAGGATTGGCTATACCAGTTCCACTATTGTCAGCTATGAAGTGGAAACTGAAGCTCCACCGTGTGTATTGGATCAATAAAACTGCAAGACATAACATTGGAAATAATTTGCTATATCTGTTTAGCATAAATTTCTTCATTTAAAATGTGTCATGCACGGCATGAATCCATGGATCCATGCATTAACTCAAGCTGGACCCATAAGCCTGGCTTCAAATTCAGTGTACTTTAAGGATCTATATAGTTGCTAAATCTCAATAGCGCACCTTTGGGATGCAGTAAAAAAGAGAATTTGCAGTGAGAAAGCTAAGTAATTGAGTCAGCATGTATAAAAATCACTATTAAAAAACTGTCTGTTACCTTGCTGAATCCATATTGCAAGGGCAGTCAACTTCGGGACACTCAAGCTGTGGTAGAACTATGAGTCCCATAAGGCACTGTAAGATTTTTAACAGCCACAGGTTTGACTCGCAGAGGCATGATGGGATATGTCATTTCACCATAGCTAGAGTGCCAAGGCTGCCTACCCGCCATGGTTTGTTTTCACTACATTAACAAAAACAATATAATTTAATTGATGATTTTTGGCGTGGTGACGGTGGGAGTTGTATGGTAAGTTGCTTGTCAAGTCCTTTCTCCTCCTGCTCTGTCTGGCTTTAGGAAGTTTAACTTGCTAGTCAAGTCCTTTCTCCTCCTGCTCTGTCTGGCTTTAGGAAGTTTAACTTGCTTGTCAAGTCCTTTCTCCTCCTGCTCTGTCTGGCTTTAGGAAGTTTAGGACTACACAATGTTGCAAATGACTTTTTCCTGCACTAAAGTGACCTTGACTTTCAAACTAAGATAAAAACGCACCTGTGCATGTAGTTTCCAGGCATAAATCTGACATTGTGTGACATCTATTTTCTGTGGTCTTATGACATTTGTGTGCATTAATACTTGCGCTCACTGTATTTTAGGAGGAATATAAACCAGGAAAGCCTATTTCTGAAGAAGACTTAAAAAATGCAATCAGCATACATCATTCTTTGGCTACCAGAGCATCGGACTATAACAAAAGGCCAAATGTCTTCTACCTGCGAACAGCAGACTGGAGAGTATTCCTCTTTCAGGCTCAGTGAGTCCTAATAACACTTACAATAAATGTCTGATCTGTGCTTCTCATCCATGTTTTCAGTATCCAGTTCTATGATATATTACTGTACATTAACTAACTATGCAGACTGCTGTAACTGGTTTCTTGGCATCGCCTTATTGTTGGTTTGCTCTGGTAAATCATACAGAGTTATATCTGTCAGTGATTTAGATTAGTGATGGGCTGAACTACCCCGTGTTCGGTTCTAACTAGAAAATTAGAACATGGAAAAAGTTCTAACTCAATGCAAGTCTATGGGACCAGAACTTGTAAAATCAACTGTCACCATTTTGAAGGCTTATATTCAAGTTAATGGCCATAAAAAGAGTATGGGGATTCGGGTACTGCCCTGGGGGACATGTATTAATGCAAAAAACACTTTTTAAAAAATAAAAAATTGCTGGTAATTGATTTTCCCTTAATCTGCTAAACAACTGCTTGGGGAGGCAGCCTGTATAAAGAGGCCACATTTTAGGCCACTCGGAACAAGGTTAGAGATTTTTTGGATAAATGTTGGTGTCTCTTTTGCAGACAGTGGATGAAAAGTAACAACAGGTGCTTTAAAATTGGGCCTTTAGTGTTGGCCGTAACCCTTCAGAGTTATTCTTGATAAGTGCAGGATTGGAAACTGCTCTAAAAATTCAAAATATATATACCTATCACACGGATGTGGAAAAAATTGGCTTTTGGTGTTGGTGCCTCCACACTGTAACCCCTCACAGTTACTCTTGATGGGTGCAGGAATGGGCCCTGCCGTAGAAAAATTCAAATTATATGCCCGTCACACACCTGTCTCCTTGTTGGCCTTTCAGACATGATGCGGGGCTTATTATATAATTTTATTAGAGAATGTAGGATGGGAAATTGGTACTTGGGTGCAATACTTTATTGAGTGTGGTGCTTGGTGCAATATAAACTGTTGTACAATGGCTTATTATGGAAAAAAAACCATTTAAAAAAGGGAACACCGCTAGCGCAGGACCAAGATGGACGTCTAGTCTCTACCCTCCGACACCTGGGCCCCTCATTTACTTGTGAAAAAAAAAAAAAAGGGAACACCGCTGACGCAGAAGTGGGAACACCTGCGACATAAAAATGGGGGAACAGCAATGAGGCAACAAAAGAAAAAGAAAAGACAGTGAATATACAGCACAGACAATAATACTATATTCAGTAACAATACTATAGACACCAACGTGCTGTATAAAGCACTGACACTAGTTATCTTTCCCTACACTACACTGTACTACACTACAATCTATCTTTAACTCCAGCAATAGACTACATTAGGCTGCGGTGTAAACAGCCTTGTATAGTGTGGGGCTGGGACTTAGCGGTGAGCCATGATTGGGCAAAGTCATCATTACTTTGCCCAATCATGGCTCTTACAGTGCACTGTGCCGTGATTGGGCAACGTCTTGCACCTGACATGCGATCAGGGCTCTCACAAGGCACTGTGCTGTGCGCAGTGCCTTGTTGGGCGAACAGCCCGCCAAACGCCCTGATAGTTCACGTGTTCGCTGAACACATGAACTAGCAATGTTCAAGTCGAACATTGAGCCCATCCCTAGTTTAGATGTTTAGTATTATAATATTAACTGATTCTTATTTTTCTGGGGTTACCTATCACAGGCGGCCTATCTATGGAATGTTTTTGCTTATTTTCAAATGTGCTCTTCCCAAAAACCTCTCTTAGTCCCATTTTAGGCACATTTAGCAAGCATTGCTATTCATCTCTATGGAAGGTGTGTTTTGGCACAGCCAGGCCTAATCAATTTTGCAGTTATTGTCTCTGTCCTCTAATACACAGATAACAGAAGGCAGTAATGCAGTGAGAGTTTATGGCAGCCTCTTCCAACAGCCTATTACGTTGCTAACAGCAACATGGATTGTGTAACTTTTTTCACTTCTTGACAGGATCACCCATAGTGAAGGAGCACCCATGAATGATGATTCTTGATTGATTATAAAAACAAATTAAAGAAAGGATCTGTATTTACTAAGTAATGTCCTTGTGTAAGCATGTATTCAGCCATACACAGGATCATATAGTTTAATGATATGAACATTTTTGGTGCACACTTACATTACATTTAGTTATATTTGGAGTTGAGATAATTGAGGCATTCATATCAGCGGGCCTTGTGAGACTGGTGGTGGCATCTCAATGAATCTGGTGGATTAAAAGGCTCTTAATATATTCCTGGATGAACAGAGATAGTCCATTACTTCTGATTACTAAATGTGTACTGAATATGTATAGGAAATAATTGGGAGATCACCTTATAAACACTACATAGTTAATGCAAATATGGGCAAGAGTGTCATTCCACCAGGATTATGTCATCATATAAAGGTGTTTTCAATGCAATGTGCTGATTGTACTTATGCCGTGATATTACTGTGCCCCAGGGTGCCAAGTAGGCTAGATCGCTGTACAGGACATACTAGGGCAGCAAACATTCCTCTATTGCCAAAATATGTGGTATATGGTTCCATGCTCTGTTGTCATACTTAGGTGGACTGGTAAAGGAGGCGAGTTTTGCGACAGAGGAAGAAAATAGCTGCTTAGCTTATGTAAAGATAAATTAATTGATGAATTGTGGGAGTGGAAACATTAACATTATGACTACTGAGAGGTGAAGTGAATAACATTAAATTATTATGTTACAATGGCGCCTGGAAGTGGGTGGGATATATCAGGCAGCAATGAAAATGCTGTCCCTGAAGCTGATGTGGTAAAAGCAGAAAAAAGGACAAGCGGCGTTGAGAAGGGCCTAATTGAGATGGCTAGACCACTGGGTCAGAGCAACTCCAAAACTGCAGCTCTTGTGGAATGTTCCTGGTCTGCAGTAGTCTAGACCTACCAAAATTGGCCCAAGGAAGGAAAAACCAGTGAACCAGCGACAGGGTTTTGGGTGGCCAAGGCTCGTTGATTTGGGAGCGAAGGCTGGCGTGTGTAGTCCAATCCAAATAGTTGAAAAAGTTAATAGAAAGTTGTCTGAACACACAGTGCATCACAGTTTGTCACATATTGGGCTGTGTGACCGCAGAACGGTCAGGGTGCCGATGCTGACCCCTGTCCACTGCTAAAAGTTCCTACAATGGGCCCCTGAGCATCATAACTGGACCACAGAGCAATGGAAGAATGTGGCCTAGCCTGATTAATCACGTTTTCGTTTACAACATGTAGATGGCTGGGTGCATGTCACTTACCCAGGGAAGAAATGGCACCGGGATGTACTATGGGAAAAGGCAAGCCGGCACAGGCACTGTGATGTTTTGGGCAATGTTTTGCTGGAAAACCTTGGGTCCTGCCATTCAAGTAAACCCTTTCCTGGAAATGGTATTTCCTGGTGGCAGTGGCCTCTTTCAGCAGGATAATGATCCCTGCAAAAAGGGTTCAAGAATGGCTTAAGAAACACAACAAGTTTGAGGTGTTAACTTGGCCTCCAAATTCTCCAGATCTTAATCCAATCAAGCATCTGCGGGATGTGCTGGAAAACAAGTCGATCCATGGAAGTCCCACTTTGTAACCTCCAGCACTGCTACTTGCTTGGTGCCAGATACCACAGCAGTGGTGACAGAGCTTCACTGGTAACCAGTTAGCTTCCTTTTCTCAACGTAATGCAAAGATTGCTTTATCTGTGGCTAGGAAAGACCTTAAAGCTGTAAAATATTTAGCAAAATTATTTATATATCACTGATGATGCAATAGAATGTGGAGCTGCTTATTTTGACTAATGTTTTGGATGCTTTTTTCCCCCAGAAATACAGAACAGATGCATTCATGGATCACACGTATTAATGTGGTGGCAGCTATGTTTTCTGCTCTTCCATTCCCAGCTGCAATCGGGTCTCATAAGAAGTTTACCCGACCACTTCTTCCAAGTGCCATCACCCGCCTGTCTCAGGTATTTAAAGCATGTGTCAAGGCAGTGTAAAAGAAAAAAATAGTACATCTCTGCTATACATGCACATTTCCCCAATGTTTTATTCCTTTAATCATGCTGCAAGTACAGCAAACTGTTGATGTGCCAGTATAGTGTCCTCCCACTTTGACAAAACAACACCGCATGTTTTGAGCTTTAAAACCCTAAGCAGATGGTCAGCCTTTCCTTCTTAATTTCTATTGGCTTACAAAGCCCTGTCCTCAACCTCCACCACTATCTCTACAACCTCTCCTTGTGCACGGGCAGAGAGCACAGGAAGTTATCAGCTCACAAGGTTCCTGGAAGAATCGGCAGGTATTTTTTCATGCTTAAATGGATATAACAAGAACAAAAGTAAATTTAGAAAACCAAAAGGTAGCAAATAATAGAAGTTAATTGTTAGGGCGTTATCACGTATCTGGTTGGAGAGCGGTTGGATGAGGACCTTGCACCTCGTGTCCCACAGACTCTGGAGGTGGAGACAGAGTCTGAGTGAAAAGCAAGTAGCACGGGTGTCAGAGGTGCGTTCACACCATGCAGGTAAATTCCAGAGTCAGGATCAGGTCAGACAAGCCAAGGGTCACACCAGCCGGGCAGCGAAGTACAGAGCTGGAGACAGTGGCAAATCCAGTGAACAGGCAAAGGTCAGGAGGCAGGCGGCAATCAGGGTAGTAAAGAGCAATCCATGTCAAAACACAGGAACAGGAAACCGACATCAGACACAGGAACACGTTGAAGACTATCCAGCACCTGAGGATCAGGCAGGCTTGTTTAAATAGGCTGGTCTATTAGAGGTCATTGCATCATTTCCTGAGAGCCAGAGGTCACCACATCACTTCCTGTGCACCAGAGGTCAACGTGTCTTTGTGCATCTGTCCTGTTGCGCACGCATGCGCACCAGCACATGTTTACCTGCTGTACGAAAAACAGGACCCTGCGCATGCGTAGTGACAGGCGTTACCTTACAGGTGTACAGTAAGTATGATTTAATTTTAATGCTAACAACTATTTAACATGGCACACTAGGAGTCCTGTGGAACAAATCCACCATCTTTATAGCATATTCCTCATTTGCTTGTAAATGTAGGTTGGTGTTACTGCTGGTATACATTCCTAACTGTTTATTGTTGTACATTGTAATAGTAATATTGTGCAAAATGTGGACAGTGCCATATAATAAATAACCAATGCTAGGATAGAATTTTAAGTTTTATCAAATGTTAAGATATTGTTTTTAATGGATTTGTTTTTATTTTTAGGAGGATCAGGTGCAAACACATGAATCTAAATTTAAGAGCATGTCATCTAGCTTAATAGAACATCGTATGTCTCCTCCAGATAAGAAGGTGAAAGGAAAAGAAATGGATGAATTTAAACAAAAAGAAGACTACCTAGAGTTTGAGGTACATATTACACATAATAATCTGGTGTATATTTTAGTGCTGGTAATGATTAACATTTTCCTGTTCGATTAATGGGGAAAAAAATTAATCGATTAATCGACTAATTTCGATTAATTATAACGCACATACCGAGGGGGGTCTCACCAGAGCTTTGAGGGGGCCTCACCAGGGTAGCAGGGCTCTGTGGGAAAATAAGTCTTCAAAGAGACCTACCCCTGTGAATATGGAGTACCAGAGAACAGGTGTCCATTAATTGTGAAAAGTGCTATTGTGCAAACATTCAAAATAAACACTGGATTCCCCACTCAATAGGTGAATGAAGATTGTAACAAAGTAACACAATGTAAAAACCGTAAAATCTAGTAGCACCCCTAGTATATTTGTCACCTCTTTCAAATTTTGTGAAGTTTAAGGCTCGATTCACACTATATTTTAGGTGCGATTAGGGATTCCTGCATCAGGGACTTGTGATTTCCTGCAGCAGGAATCCCCAATCTGCCGCTTGAAAGTGGCAGAACGCCGGCACACAGCATGTAATGGTATGTGATATGATTACATGCCATTAGGAATCAATCACTCTCCGTGGGTGAGCTGTAAGCCATAATCATCACAATTATGACAAATCACGGCTTGAATTATCTTGCTTTGCATGTAATGAGTCTCTCTCATATATTAGTTTCACCTTTTAAGTTGCATTAGTGAAATAAATTAACTTTGCACGATATTCTAATTATTCGAGTTTCACCTGTAGTAGAATACTAATATTAGCATTTGTTATTCTTATCTCCACTTAGATCCAGGCCTTTCTAGTAACTACCTTTTGTTTACGATGAACACAGTGCAAGTGACCATGCATTGTCTTTGGATGGAGCTTGGCTTTAAGCTGGCCATATGAACAGAGATTATTGCAAGATCCAAATATTTTGGGCACGACTGTAGCATAAACTTTCCATATATTGCTTGTGAATGATTGTAATAGAAGATTGCCGGAGGCCATTGATGCCATCACTAGCAATCGATCGAGAATATTTCAACCAGTGAAAATTACATCAATGTTGATATAGAAGAGATGGGCATAACGTGGCATATACAATAAAGAGGAGATTGCCTAAAGTGACACTAAACTCAGGAGCTGAATCTTAAAAATGCATTCAACTACCCTAACAAAAATGTATCTTATTTGTGTAACATTCAGCTGTAGATCCTCAAATCATCTCTGAATTGGTGCTGATACTGTTCTTCCTTCTGGAGGGTGGCTGCTTTTGTTCCCCGTGGTCCCTGTCTGTGCTGTAAAGTAGCCACCGCTCCATGCTCGCTCCTGTGATGGGCTACAATCTAGCTACAAATTGGCAAACTAAATGTGATTCTAGTCCATCACGGGAGTGAGATTGGAGCGGTGACTACTTTACAACACACACAGGGACCATGGGGAAAAAAAGTAGCCACCCTCCAGAAGGAAGGACAGGGTAAGCATGAATTCAGAGATGATTGGAGTATCTACAGCTGAGTAATACACAAATAAGTAACACTTTTGTCAATGGCTTGTGTACTTGAATATATTTTTAAGATTTAACTCCTCAGTTTAGTTTCGCTTTAATGTTTTTTTAATAGTGCATGCTGATACTTTTGGATAACAGGAGTATCTTCTGTGGGTGTTGTCCTTGCTAAGCATAGCAGGATACGCAGATGAGGAGGGTATTGGGAGGTAAGAAGAGGGCCCCTGCTCAGAAAACAATGCCTTAGGTTCTAGGCCACCAATTTCATTTATAGAAATTCGTGAAATCATTGTAGATGTCATCTTTCTACTAGTTGCAGATATGTTAATGATTTATATTACATTACCTTGATCTTACATTTCCTTCCATAAATACTTGTTAAAATTAGATTCAGTACTCCCTTGCATATTATTCATATTTATGCTCAGCCCTGTTTAACATTCTATGTATGGAAAGAAGTGTCCCATAGTGCTATACTTAAGAAGGAAGGATGCTCTTGAATGCATCAAGAATTCCTCCCTGCATATTACAGTAGACGTCAGTACAAGATGTTTATTCTAGGACACATTGCCTTCTAGCTGGCGATTGTGATTAATCAGTTACCAGCTTTAATTAGAACTCAAAATACGGAATACTCAGAAGGAAATAAATGAACTACGTTTAAACGTAACTCGTTTGTCTCTATTCAGAGAGTGCCTTCAAAATAGTTATAAGATGCTCAGCACCATTGAACCATTTGATGTGTACATATGATGCTAAAAAAAAAACTATTATATAGCACCTTTATGGTATAATCAGACAGCTGAGCAAATGTAAGTCCCACTGGGAAGGAAGGTCAAAGCTGTAGGAATGATGGTCAGTGTCTCGTATTATCTTGTCAGCAGTTTATAAAGCGACATCTATGAGCTTCTCATATTATGCATTATATACAGGTGAAACTCGAATAATTCGAATATCGTGCAAAGTTCATTTTTTTCACTAATGCAACGTAAAAGGTGAAACTAATATATGAGATAGAATCATTACATGCAAAGCAAGATAATTCAAGCTGTGATTTGTCATAATTGTGATGATTATGGCTTACAGCTCAAGAAAACCCCAAGAACCCCAAATCCACAACCTCAAAAAAGTAGATTATTACATGCAATCAATAAAACAAGGATTGTACATAGAACAATATCGGACCTCTGAAAAGTACAAGCATGCATATGTACTCAGTACTTGGTTTGGGCCCCTTTTGCAGCACTTACTGCAATTACTTTTGCACGATATTCTAATCGAGTTTCACCTGTATTTTGGAAATGTTACAGAAGGTGACAAGATTTGGATAGAGATTGCATATGGGAACAGGAGGAGAGGTTAGAGCCTAGCATTATACCTAGCAATCTAACATGAATGGAGGGACAGATAGCTGTGCTATTGATCTTGATGGAAAACTTTGGAGAGGGGGCATGGGAGAAGAAATATTATGAGCTCAGTTTTGATGTGTAGAAATATAGCTAATTATAGCTAATTTGCCTACAAATATATATATTAATATATTCCTTTTCTTTTTTGCACAGAAATCTCGTTATGGTACTTACGCCATGCTCCTTCGAGCCAAATTGAAGGCAGGTACAGAAGATTTGGAAGCTTTTGAAAACAGTTTATTTGACTCAGCAGAAAATGATGAAGATGGACTAAAAAAAACACGCTCTAGTCCCTCTCTAAATCTGGACCCACCTGTTTCAGCCACTAAAGCAAAATGTCATACGTCTTCGCGAGGCAGCTCCCGACCATCACACAGCAGCACCAGGCAGAAGTCTTGAGCTGCGAGGCTCTTCAGATCTTGGTAAAAGAAAGGTTTGAGGCCCCTCCTCCCTCTATAGCTGGTACGTTGGGTTCTAAGCTAGTACCAATAAGTATTGCATGATTTACTACTTTCTGCTGGTACATATTGTCACAGGCTGAAACCTCAGAGTTTTTGAAAGGAGCAGTGGTATTCCTATAATGGATCAAAAGCAGCACAGTCACTGCAAACACTGCCTATATGTAAGAGTCAACATGGATTGTGCAAGAAGAGAAGTGCATGTGAGTGAAAGCTTTTCAAAATGTTTTTTTTTCTTTCTGTCTCGATAACAATTTTAAATCTTTTGTTTTATATTTAAGCCATTAAAATCCAGCGGGACCATGTTTTTTAAATTTTATTAATGGCAACCAAAAACGGAAACAAATTCTTAGAAAGTATCCTTGCATACCGAAGTGGAGTTTACTATTAAAAAGTACAGCACATAAACTTTGCTACAATCAAATATTTTTTATGGCGACAATGACGAGAAGAAAGCCTCCTGTTCTAAACTTACAAGGGCCATGTACAGAATTTGTATTCTTGTTTTGTATATGATCCGGCTGCTCCAGCCATAGAGAGGACAGAACAGTTTGCAGTGACAGAACTTGACAAAAACACTTGGATTCTCCTGAGGGCTTTGGCAAAATGGCTTCCCCAATTCAGGATGGTGCCATTTCTTAACTGGTTTCCTCCATTTTTGTGACATATTTTTGCACTTTTACTACTTTACTGAATTCAAGATTGTCATGCTGATATTTTGTAGTATTAATGCTCTTTTTGAGGTTTGGAAGTTATTTGCTTTCATGCTAAAAAACAAAACAAAAAAAAACACAAACAAAAAAATTGAATGTCAATTGTTATTAGAACTGTAAATGGAGGTTTACACATTAAGGAAATAGACAACAGCGCAACATTGTCTGCATAGGTCAGAATTGTAGTGACTTTCAGCGTGGGCACTGGACCTAGCCAATTATATCTTGTGTCTTGCTCCTGAATACCAGCAAAAATTCAGCGTATCACAGTCTTTGGAGTGATGGTGTTACTGAGGACATTGGAAGCAGAGGTCAGAATTTGGGACAGATCTGTCATCAATGATTAGTTACCTAAAGGCTTGGTTCACCTAAAACTGATATTTCAGGTTGTGATAAATACTTAAGGGCTTCTTATTTCTCTAAATGGGGACTTCTGTGCTTCAGATCTCTGGTAACTGCAGCTCTCTTACAGTTATAAGGGGGTTCTTTATTGGTTAGTGTTAGATTTTAATTTATTTTTGATCCCAGAGAGTATAACAGGAGGAGTGGGACATTC